CTCACTTGTACTGGATAAGTCTAATAATATGGTAAAAATCTGACTCTAAGAGGTATAAATAATATTAGCTGTAGATAACAACTCCACATGTGAGGTGCATTAGTTTATCTACATTTGAAACCCCATTATTTCTTTATCTGCGTGTTTCTGTAACTGATTGAATTCCAAATGAATTTCAGGAACTTGCTAAAGTAACCTTTTTCTTGGGAACGTGTCTCATGATCGGCACGCACACATTAGTCATCGTAACAGTCAGATAAGCAGGCGCTAACTCGCCTCCGTCAACCTGCCGCACACAAAATACAACCAAAGTATTGGTAGCCAAGTTCTAGCATCACACTTTGCCTCATTTGCAATTTAAATGGGACCGTTCCCATAGTAGTAATAAGAAGAAAGAGACTTGAACCAATGCCAGTTCATGTTTCAGTGATTTTCAGTGTCAACATTTGAATTTTATATATATATATATATACAGTGGGGGAAATAAGTATTTGACCCCTTGCTGATTTTGCAGGTTTGCCCACTTACAAAGAATGCAACGATCTATAACTTTAATCATATGTACATTCTAACAGTGAAAGACAGAATCCCAAAGAAAATTCCATAAAATCACATCATATGAATTTATAAAAATTGATAACTATCTGATGAGGAAAAATAAGCATTCTTTGTAAGTGGGCAAACTTGCAAAATCAGCGAGGGGTCAAATACTTATTTCCCAGACTGTATATATAAATAAGCGATATTTTAAAGCATGAAAACTATGACAAAATTGTTTTGCTGTATCAGTCATAGTCAACTAAGGGGGGAGGGGAATTATCTGAACTCCTTACATGTTAATAAACACTGATATAGCATTCCTGGTTGTCACTTATTAAGAGCTTTCCACTCCAATGCTTAGCTAACCTGTGGCATCGGGACCTTAAAGGCGTTCTGTGATCAGGTTTATCGGGTTTATCATGACCAAACTCCAAGCTGAATCGTGTTTCTGTACCCAAAATGCATCCTTATCTCCTTCCAGCTTAATTAGTGACCTGCGTTAAACCCAGTGAGGGGGTGGAGATGAACAGAAACTCTTCCAACTCTTCCGCATTGAAGCAGTCCGAGTTCAGTTCAGGTAACACCGAACGGCTCAAGTTAGCGCTCCATCAGCTGTAATTGCTGTCCTGCTCATTGCGGCGGTCATTATTCTGACCATTTCCTCTGTTCGGGATCCCATAATGGAGCCTGTCAGCAGCGACTTAGGCTCATTTACTCGCATTGTGTTGCGTATTGGAAAGGAGCACAGAGATGATGGGAGAGGTGAGCCAATAGGGGCCTCTTCCCTCCTGCTATCAGCATCACAAATCAGCCCCATTTAACTTTATTTAACTTTAATCTTAGCGTCTCTGCTTACTGGTACATGGTCTCTATGAAGAAGCTGTAATTAATTCACAATCATCTCATCTCATGTGTGTCTTTGTAAATTGATTAAAACTTTAAGCACCCTGATTTATGGGTTATAAATTATCATTATCTTTTTGCAAAATCTTCATGATCTTATGAAAAAAGGCTAAAATGTGAAGTTTACTAATAATAAAAATCATAAACTTGACCTACACATCGAATTGTGGTTATTTGGTGAGAAAAAAGTAACAATATTTTCAGATTTTTTGGACGGGATTTACCTGAGAGTCACCAATAGATTATAAGAGATATGTCATTTATGCATCAACATCTACTCGGCCAGTGAACGAAACCCGACCGAGACACTGACCTGGACCAGCCTCCATGACTCGGCGATAATGGCAGCCTGGACTCTGTTGAGGGCAAAGCCATCAATCTCTTTTTTCAGTCGGACCGGCGCCTGGCCAACCTGCACACATCCAGAAATCCCTCACATCAGCGGCTCCAACTAGAGCCAAGAACTAAAACGATCAGGTTTTTTCTTTACTTCCTTATCCATAAAGTCACTTTTATACATTTAGCACACTTTTGGAGCAAAAGAATTTGAATTTTTCCATTTAAGGCAATGATTTTATTTTAAAAAAACACAAGTAAAAAGATTCAAATTGGCCAGAAAAGAGCAGAACAACAAAAAGACAAAGACACAAGTAAAAATGAAATACTCAAATCATAGTCAGAGTTCTTTTTGGTCAGAGTAGATAGAAAATGAGCACCATGTTCGATATCATTTGCAGTGGAATACATTCCAGACTCCTGAAGGAGTCCCGTTTCAGGACCTTCCAAAAGTTGCTTGTTTTGTGCTGCTGAGACTTGCTTTGAAACATCAATCTCTCTTAGAAAAAAAAACCTGCCGCTACATGTGGTACCAGTCTGAACAAATGCAAACCGTTAAAGTGTCGCCAGGCTTGTCATGAACATTTACGTCATAGTCTGATTGCATAATTACCTCCTCCCCTTTCCAGTAAAACATATTCTGATGTTTTACTGACTGGGCATCTTCTCTTTACCTTGGTCATGAGAGCATGGGTGGCGTCCATAACTGTTGCTAACGTCTCTGGGTGAGGCACCAGCTCCACCAGTTTGACATAGTAAGGTGGGTTTACCTGGAAGAAAAACAAGACAAATCCACAGAATAGTGTTTGTGTCCCAACATGAATCTGTCATTATATTGTTTCTAAGACGCCGAGGGTGAATCATCGGAGGTTTTTGATGCAATCGCGGCCCTCCTGGGCTCGGCTTTATCCAGCTGGCTGTGTATTAACTGGACCAGTGTGGGGTTTTATTGATCGGGTTGTGTTCTATCACCGTGAACTGGAATGTATGTGAAGATATTTGCTCATTAAACATTAACAACGGCTGCATGAAAGATTAGGTTAGTTCATTTCTAACTTTCTATCCCCTCCAATAAAAAAGCTGAACCTGTACTGGTTCAGGTTGGTTATAATTGAGCCCCGAACATTGTTCCTAACCCAGAAATCGGAATTCTAGGAACACAAGCACATCCACATAGTTTCTGAGAAATCTTCAGACGATGAGGAAACGGGGAAACGTGAGATTAGAGATGAAGAGGGGGTCACATGACCGACCGGATGGGAGACGAGGCAGCGGCTCCGGTCCTGCACTTGGGAGAAGACGCTGCTGGGCACCAGGCAGGAGGTGGAGCTGCTCAGGATCACGGCTTTCCCCACCAGGCGCTCCACGTCCCGGAAGACCTTCTGCTTGACTTCCAGCTGCTCGAACACGCACTCCTGCAGCACGAGAGGGAAATTTCTCTCTTTCAGTCATCCTGTTTTCGGCAACAAACTGAGAAAACAGCGTTTTGCTTCATTTACTTATTCACTTTTCAAACTGCCTTTGAAATTAAACTACAATTAGCGTCTCCCTGCACCAACCATTCTGAATTCAGCACCTGGACACATCAGAATAAAGGGAAAAAGGTCTTTACATGGACTCTGTTTTAATTAATGACCACGTTTTCAACTGGCAGTCCTTCTGTCCATCAGCTTTATGTGACATCCTCCACCCCCTCGCTTTGATTTCCCAGAGCTTTTTATACTCTTATCTGGAGTTTCTGGCATATTTGATTTGATTTGCAGTGTTTGTATTCACAAAGATGAACAAAAACAAAAATCGAGAATTTCCTCTGCACTTTAATACTCGGACATATATTTTACATCCATAGATTTAAAAAAAAAGGAGAGGTGGAAAACGTGACATCCAATTTGACACTTTAATCAAATGCTATCTTCCTCTCAGCTTTTGCCTCCGTTTTCTCACCAGTAGAAAGCAGAGGGTGCGATTCACTTAAACCGATTGTGTTCTGCCCCCTTGAGGACAATCCACGTCACAACAAAACCAGAGCCAGGTGTGGCCCCTCCATGATGGGATTTTAAGTGCTTGCTTTTTAAAGTAAGTGAATGTAAGAATAATTTGTCGCTATAGCGTCAAACCAAATGTAGAAAGGCAAAGTTTCATAAGTTTTTTTCTTTGATAATCTACATTCAAGCAGCCAGATTTCTTATCATCTTTTAAAATGGCTTTTCTCAAAAGTTTTACACTTTCCGGAGGTCTTTAATGCACGTTGTGCCAAAAAGATCTGAGGAAACTGGACAAGTGCAGGACAAAAGAAGAAGAGTTGGGCCTAAAAAACTATTTTCCGCGGATTAAGAAGATCTGATCCATATCCTGTTGGCCCAAGCCTCGTCAGGGGTGTCAAGAAACCATCCTTATGGGAGGGAAACAGGGAGGAAAGTCTGAACTCTGCCAAAGGACACAAGAAGTGGACTGAAAACCAGTGGCAACATCCAAAGAAGAGACTCTTTAAACAAAGGATGCAGAGCTGGGTGAAGAGAATTCTAGATTCTGCAGAATAAACAATCTTCTTCAAATTGTGCTTTTGTATTATATGCTGTTTTAATATTCATGTTTGAGGGCCTTTCGATAAATAAGCAGCTCGTTTTTTCTTTTTCTTGAATCATTTAAAGCACTGAAGGGTGGCTTGAGTCACAGCAGACAGAACAAGCTTTCTGTCCCCAGTTTTTACTCAAATCTGACCATAAGTGGCTAAAAAAAAACACATCACTGTCCAGTGTGGGACCAGTTAGAAAGAACCGATCAGAGACAGGAGACCAGAGATTTTGCGGTTCTCCCTGATCTTCACATTAGGAGGCTAAGACATACACGGTGTAGCGTGTGTGATCAGAGGTCTGCCGTGTTACCTGGACAAAGAAGGCCCCGTCCAGAGCCTGAGAAAGGTCATCGTGGCTGCTGAGGAGGGCGAGCTGCTGCTCAGCACTCAGGACCCCTCTCAGCATGTGGGCTCCCTCCAGCTCCTCCAGCTGCTTCCTGAGTCCCAGAGCAGGACATGTGGGCGAGACAAACACTCACTTAAGATAAGATAAGATAAGATAAGATAAGATAAGAGCTTTATTGATCTCACAGTGGAGAAATTCACTGGTCACACATCGGTTAGAGTTCAAAAGGAGGAAAAGGTGCATAAAGTACAGCAAAAACAAACAAATATACAAGGAAGCAACACAGAGACAGACATTTCAGAGATTTCAGAGATTGTTGAAGCAATATTTTCAAGTTCTTATGATAGAAGAAAAAAAAAAAGAGAAATTTGTCTAATTTTGCACATTTAAAGGTCTGAAACGGAACCACGATTGTGTGTTGATGTACAGACTTTCCCCCAAATAGTTCATTAAAATATTTGCTTTAATATGAAGCAAACTGAAACAAAAATATCCTTAAGAGTCGATGCAGCTGAGGTTGTTCTCCACCCTGAATCTATATAATAATATGAGTTTATAGAAAAATAAACTTCATCAGTTGTTTACTGGTTAATAATCAACATGTAACACCTGAATACCCTCAAAAGAGTAAATCAGAATAATCTAAACAAAGTGAGGAAGATCCCACCTCACACACTGACACAATTAAGCATTTACAACCCATAATGTTCATACAATCATCTAACTTTTAAACAGTCTGAATGATTGCTGCACTTATACCTAAGGTCTGATTTAATAAATATGATGCTGGTTGGAATTTGGGTTTCTTCCATTTTTAAAGGTTTTAGATGCCTTTTTAAGTGATGTTTACCCAAAAGATCTTTGTCATTCCGCGGTAATGTTTAACCAGCGATGACTTAGCTGTGAAGCGTTTTTTTAGCCTGAAAGTGTGTTTATTAACGTGTTCTCAGAGCAGGTGGAAGCTGGTGATCATGCCGTGTCCATGTGGGAGAAAAAAGTTATTTTTCAAAACAGCATCTTTGAAAATTAGACGTGCATATCAACCTCATTATCTCTTATTTACTTTTAAATCTTTCCAATTAGACATCTGTAAAAAAAAAAACACAAAAAAAAACATATTTCCTTTCCATGACACTTTTGATGACTATTACTTGATTCCAAGTCAAGTCAAATCATAACATGGATGCAAATGATGAGGTGGATTTCAACCAGTGCTACAAATCCTGTGTGTAGTGTATGGCCACATAAACATGTATTAATAAAATTCTTTGGTATTATAATAGTTTGGCATTTTTTAGCAACAGCCAAAGTCAGGGAACTTAAATAAGTGAGCTCACAGAGCATAAATGTAAACATTTTAAGCTTCTCATTATTCTGTAATCTGTGTAAGTTTGAATAATGCAATCAGCACAAAATTGCTTTAATCATAATGACTTTAGATGATTTGTTCAGCACGGCTCACCTGATTTCTGTGATGGCTTTGGTAGCCTGTCCAGGTTGGTTGTCATAAATCTTGACTCTGTAGCCTCCACTGGCAAACACCATGGCCCAGGAGCGGCCGATCAGCCCACTGAAAGCAGGGGAAAGAAACGGAAGAATAGTTTGAAATTTTGTCAGTTTGTGCAAATGTGTGAGGTATATTTAAAAAATAACTCGGCTGTATTGGAAAGAATTTAGCTGAATTTTAACCCTTCCCATTGCATGTCATCTCTCATGTTTACATCTCTTTATTTGATAATGATCCTATGGACATTTCTGTAATGCAGGACATAAGTGTTACGGCTCACTGCAGGAAATGAGTTATTTTGTGTTTACTTTTCTTACAGATGTCACTTTAGACAACTACCAAGTTCAGATGAGTGCAGAAATAAAGAACAGGGTACAGAAAACAGGTTAAAATGCAAACCTGTTCAAAATACGTTTGCACAATACAGCCACTGAGCCACTAAAACCGACCCTCCTTCACACAGTGGGTTAAATAATGCATGTATCCAGACGTGTCTGAAAAAAGAAATCTCACTAATCCAGCAGCAAAATCATAATCTAAAGCAGACTAAAGGAATTCGCCTGAATGCAAAGGATCTAAATATAGATTCAGATTTGTCCTGATATGGTGTAAACGAGCACGAAGCTATTCCATTTTATTTTTAACAGGAATTACTTGGAAGTTCAGCCTAAAATGAGGGAAACTGCAACTGCTGTGGTCAGGTTCGCGAACACGTTGCAGAGTTATTCTCATCGCCTGGGAACAAAGTGTATTCTGCAAAGGTTTTGATGCTCACCTGCCGATCACAGTGATGGGCCTGTCGTCTGAAGTGCTCATTTTTTAATCTGAAGGTGCAAATCCGACTGAAGTACATGTATTCTTACCCAATTTCTAGCACCACCCCCTTAAAGTCACGCTGATATACCGTTACGGAACCTCGGAAGGACAAACCAACTCCAAGGATCACAGCCGGTTGATGCCTTTTCTCGTTTAGAAAGTTCGACATAAACCAAAGACTGTCCATTTAATTCAATAAAAGACAATTGTGTTTTTTATGTCAGTACAGAGGTGAGCCCGAAAAGCAAAACAAAACAAAACAAAAAGACGTGTTGAAGTTTGCCTTCGTATCCTAGCAACGACTGCGCTCTCACAGTTAACCAATCATGTTGAGACGAGAGAATGAGTGACGTATGAGCAACCAATGAAAAGTTAAAGAAGCGTATCATCCCGCCTATGCCGCTATGAATTGTGGGATTAAGCTCTAAAAAGACAACAAACTAAATTAGCTGCTCCCTAACCTGTATATCTGGCTATATCTTAAACACCTCCTTTATTAAACTGGAAGAGAGATGGAAAATGTCCATCTGGCTGGCGAGGAAGATGATCTCTACTCGGGTTACAACGACTATAACCCAACGTTTGATTCCGAGGTAAATCTCAGGCTAATCTTATGCTAAATTAGCAAACTATCATCAGCCTGAAGCCATTGGTTCCAAACGTATTTAATATTCGGAAAAATAATGCTACTTGTGATTTTGAATTCGCTATTAAAATGTCTAATTACCTTTATTTTATTATTTAAAAAATATAAATTATATCAAGGAGTTGGAGAATGACGCGGGCTTCCAACAAGCCGTCAGGACAAGTTATGGAAGAAGACCCCCTGTGAGTATAAATTACTGTTTTTAGTCTGAAAATGTGTGGAAGCAAACACTGATTTTGTTTATTTATCCTTTTGCAGAACTATTTAGTTTAAAATTATTTTATTGAATGTTTCTATTAACTTCATTTAGCATTTAACTTCTAAAAAATGGGGTGGATAAATATTTCTATGACACATAACTTGTGTTTTGTTTGAACTTGTTGAGTTCTTTAAATAAAACATGAATACTGTCTTAACTTATCCAGATGACCGCGAAGTTTCCAGGCACTGCCATTGGAGCTCGACCTTTAGCCACTTCATTTGGTGTAAGTACAGTTTTATTGGGGGGATTTTGAATGATGTGTGATTAGCAGAACATTAAAAACTGTTCTTTCCTTCTTAGGAAAAAGGGTTGTAAATAAGAAGCGAGGCTGCACAACAGTGAAATACTTTAGATTTGCACGTTAAATGACTACTGTCCGAATGTTAAATAAAACTTATATATAACCTTTTTGTCTGAACGTGTTCTTTCCATGTAGTCTCGGGTTCCTATGACCTCATCAATGGGCAGACCTGTGACTGGAGCTGTGATGGTGAGAAGCATCATGTTATCGAGTGGGAGTTTTATCATCTGCATGCTTATTTGTGTATTTATCTACTGTCTATGTTGCTTCTCATGAAGTTGCATCATACTTAATTTGATGATAATTCTTTTTGAAAGAAGCAAGTGTAGACATTTTTGGATTAGATCACAACTGATTTCCCTACAAATGATTAAGAAGCATTAAGTGTTACTGGAAGGCATCAAAGCAAGTAAGATTGCCCAATACAAAGATCGTTTAGTTTGCTCATCTTAAATGAATCCAGTCGCCTCTCAACAAATATTACACCTGGATTTTCATGCTGTTTTAAAAAAAATTAAATCTATGAGACAAATGATCCCTATGTGGTCCTACAGGATGGAGCAGCCCGACCGATGACGGCTGTCAGAGCTGCAGGATACACCTCTTCTCTGACGCGTGGTGAGTTTGAAGGAGTCACAAACACAAATGTCTTAGTATTCATGTGGTTCCTCGCACGATAAAAGTTCAACTTGTTTGCATAGGTTTAGTTCGCCTCTAAAATGGACATTGCTGTCGACACAAAGCATAATTAGACAGCAGACGCTAGGCATAATTTTAATGGAATTTGTAAAGAAGTACACATAGGATTTTATCTTTATTTTTTTTAAACTTATTTTTGAAAGGACAGATTGTACTATGTAAGAACCTAGTCCAGTAAGAGTAATACATTTTATGTCCAGGCTCAGCCTTTGACCCTCTGGGCCAGTCCAGGGGCCCTGCACCTCCACTCGAAGGAAAGAATGAGGACACGTGAGTTGTCTTTACTTAAAGCCCAAATCTGTTTTGGGAAGGGAAAGGCCTCTTTTTATGCTATATCTCATGTGGAGAGTTTAGCAATGACCTTTATGCGAAAATCAGATTTTATTTGTCTGATTTTGTAGTGACTTTTCTAATAAACGCAATCAGTATAGTTTCTAGGAACAATTTATCTCAAAAGTAACATTTTAAAAGACCAAAGTGTGCAGACAGTGTGATGCCATAATGAATTGTAATTGTACCATTTGGCTGTAAGAAGTTGTTACGTACCACGAATAAGTAACTAAGGCAGGACTGAAGGTCAGAGCTCTCATTCTCAGAGCAAATGAATCATTTGGTGGCTTTTCAGGCCCGAGGAGAAGATCAAGATCCTGGAGAAAAAAGTGAATGATCTGATTGAAGAGAGTTGCATGGCACAGAGCGTGGGCAACCTACAGCTGGTCAGCCTCGGCCTCCTTCCTTAACCAAGTGTCAAATAATGGTTGTTTTGCCACTGCTGAGCTTTGCATTTGTGTGTCTGTGTGTGTGTGTGTGTGTGTGTGTATGGGTTTTGTTTCCACAGGCTCTTGAAAAAGCCAAAGAAGCGGGGAGGAAGGAGCGAGCACTGGTCAGACAGAGAGAACAGTCTGGCAATGCAGAGCACATCAATTTAGATCTGACCTACTCTGTAAGTAAAGCTGCTGAGGGACAGGGCTTCTGTCCGACTTCCACCTTGAGTATAATTATTCTGTTCTTTTGTTGTTAAATTAGAATGTAAAGGTCTCCTTTTTTAAAGTAGATTTTTATCAATATTCACAGTTTTGATTGGGTATGTCGTTTATACACTTAGCTTAAACGTTTATTGTTCTTTTTCAAGCATTTGTAACATTTTTAAGTTTTGAAATTCCTTTTCATAAGTAAAAGAGCTTGAGAGCATAATTTTCTATTTGTGACACCTCTGGCTTCATCCCGTCTGTTTTGTTATGCGTGGAGAACGATTATTTTCCAGCTGGGAGCCTAAACATCTATCTGAAATCACCAATGATCACAGGGGGTTGTGTAAAATCCTTATCCATAGATGTTAAAAAGGTTTAAAGTTACATTGATGGTGTAAAGTCATTTTTCATAGGGCTGATTTAAAGCTCAATGCAAATATCTGACAAAGGCAAACATTTAGCCTGAGCAGTGAACCCAACAAGCAGGTCCAGAATCAAGCATCCCACATTTAAAGAGGACCCTCATGTGCAAAGAGGAACTCTGAGACAGAAATATGTCATAAAGCCACAATAACTCACCTGAGCTGAACCTGGAAAGAGGTTCTGGGAGCTTTTGGGGGCTTAGCTTGTTGGTGGGGAGATCGTTTGGTCTTTTTTTTGGTAGAAAGAAGTTAGGGGGGCCTTCAGGAAAACCATAAACATGGATATAAGTCATTGTTGATATCAATGGCATGCTGTTCTTGTTGTGTGCTGAATCGTATTTCTGTTTTCACTTTGCATTGATTTTCTTTTCACGTTGTAGGGAGAGACAGTAAAGCAGGGCACATGTTTGGCTTCAGAGGCAGTGGACTTAACCACTCAGCTAAGCAGACCCACCTCACTAAGAGCAGATGAAGTTTTAAGTTTTTTTCTGTGACTCGCATTCTGACTACATTTCCTGTTTTAAATCTTCTGTCATTATCGTCGCGATTTTATTTGAAAGCCTTTTCTTTTTTTTATGTTATCAACAGGTTTTGCTCAACCTGGCCAACCAGTACGCGAACAACGAAATGTACCCAGAGGCCCTGAACAGCTACCAGGTCATCGTGAACAACAAGATGTTCAGTAACGCTGGTGAGGAGTCCACTCAGCTTCAAATACTTCAAATATTTTGACCGATTTCCGAAAATACTGATATTTCTGCCTTCCAATTCTTTAGTCTTTTCCCCCCATGGATTAAATGTAATCTCTTTTGGTTTTGGCCTTCAGAAAATATAGATTTTTATTCCAATTTTATCACTTTGTTTAATTAGGATACTCTTTAGACTGTGTATAAAGCAAACTATGGACAAACAGAGATGTTTTTTTTTCTCTTCTGCGGTTTTCAAATTAAATGTGAGATGTGCCGCCCCCCACAGGCCGTCTGAAAGTCAACATTGCCAACATCTACGTCACACAGAAGAACTACCCCAAAGCCATCAAGTTCTACCGCATGGCGCTTGACCAGATCTCCAACTCTCACAAGGAAATGCGGATCAAGATCATGCAGAATATCGGCGTGGTCTTCGTCCGCTTGGGTCAATACTCGGACGCCATAACGTCCTTCGAGCACATCATGAGCGAGAGTCCCAACATCAAGACGGGCTTCAACCTCATTCTGTGCTACTACGCCATCGGTGACAGAGAGAGGATGAAGAAGGCCTTCCAGAAGCTCATTTCTGTTCCTCTGGGCATCGACGAGGAGGACAAGTACATCCCGTCCAGTGTGAGTCGTTGATGACGGGTCGTTTGGAGCCTTTTATTTAGTGTGAATTTAATTCACTGTCCCATATATAGATATTTCTGTCTCTGCCAGTTCTTATTTTGTATATTTTAGAGAAAACATGTTGCGTAATGCTTTCAGTGGATTCACGTCACCTCCAAAATGTCTCTGATTGAGAAGATTCAGATGTCATTTAATAGAAAATCACATTTCAAAATGACTTTTTACGAATAAAAGGTGGAGATCAAATGGATTTTTTGCCCTCAACATCCTACTGTATTTTTCAGGATGACACCAGCGCAAACATGGTCATCGAGGCCATCAAGAACGACAAGCTACACCAGATGGAAAGAGATTTGTAAGGAAAATTATCAAAGCACTGAAAACACACAGAAAACTATGTAATTTTTGGTTACTGCTTGTCATTTCCTGTGTTCATGTCTTCCTATTTCTGTGGGCTGTTCACAGGAAAGTCCTGGCTGAGAAGTACATCATGACTTCAGCCAAGCTCATCGCCCCAGCCATCGAGACCTCTTTTGCAAGTGGATTTGACTGGTTTGTAACTTCTTAGCTTCTTCGATTTCACCATTTTAGTTGGGTAAGACCTTAAAACATTGTTTAAACCAAGAAGGAAATGGTAGATATTTTTATTCTAGGCACACTCACCAGTGGCTATCATCACTAGAGTTATTTTTACAGTAATGGAGAAGCTACTCTCCTTTTTCCAAATTTTTCTTTTCATTCTTAATTTTCTCTCCTCTTCAGCTTTAGTATATATTTGATTTAAAACGGACACATTTCTTAAACTGACATTCATTCTTTATTGTGGATCTTTTAAGGTGTGTGGACATGGTGAAGAGTTCTCAGTATGTTGAGCTTGCCAATGATCTGGAGATCAACAAAGCCATCACCTACCTCAGACAAAAGGACTTCAACAAGGTGAGTGTGTCTGAATATCTCTCTGGTTTTGGCTTCCCACCCGTCTGCTCTGCTTCTGTCAGCTTTAAGGACACAGTGTTATTGGGGGTTAGCATAATCTTTTAGAGCTTAGCAGGACACAGGCTGGACATCCTGAGGCTAGACATCATGCTTTTTGTATCTATCTTGACCATTTAGATTAGACAATAGAAACTGGGCTTTGTTCTCCTGATTTTTGGACTAACCCACCTTTCCCCTCATAACGCTCTTTGACCATAATCATTCTCCCCTCTTGTTGCCCTCCATTCTCTTACTTTTGTCTCATTTCCTCCCATCTGCATGCCTAAGGTTGAGGTATGTTTGCCCTTTGTTTCCATGCTCATATTCACAGTCTGCATCTCTGACTGACACATCAGCACGCGCTTTTCTAAGTGAAAACCAGAGAGCCAAGGAGATTATTACCATTTTTAACATCAATGCTCTGAAGACGGATGCGGATTAAAGACGGTGGTGGTGATGTTTTCTTTGCCGCTGTTAGCTAGCTGGAGGTTTCTGTTGCTTCCACTAATAGAAGAGTGACTTTGATGCAAAAAAAAAAGAATTGTTTACATGGCCAAGAAATACAAATTCTTCAAAAGCAACTGTTATCGGTCATCATTTAAACAAACTGAAATTCACAATTGGAATATTTGCTAATGTTTACACTTTTGAGAGCGATTTTACTGAGTTGTCTACAGTCATTTAGAATTGTATTATGCTGAAATATGACATTTTATACTCTTCTTGTGGTGTTAGTTTGTATGTTGTCTGGTGTTTTACAGAACTAGGGATCTGATTGTACTTTATAGAAAATATATACATATTATAACAGTATTCCTGAGAGCATGCTGGGGCACTAGATGAGGTCAGGTGCTAAGTGTCTCTGTCAGCATTGTCTTGTCTGTGACCAGGCCGTGGAAACGCTGAAGACTTTTGAGAAGAAGGACAGCAGAGTGAAGAGCGCTGCGGCCACCAACCTCTCCTTCCTCTATTTCCTGGTGAGAGTCTTTCTACGCATTACGAAACAACGGGGGACTGATTAGACATTACCTACCGTTTCACGCTGCTCACAGTTTTGTGCACTCCATGATCTTTTCACATCTAAGTTACTGCATTAGTTCTTGGTCACAAGCCACAAGCACCAATATCAAGCCTCTTCAGATGATATACAATAGAGCTATACAAATCTTAGATAAAAAAACAATCAGGTCCCATCACTCTGTTAGTCTGAACAATTTAAAAATGCTAAATTTTGAGAACTTTGTCAAATTTGCTCAGTTAAAACTGGTTTACAAATGCTTGCATGATCTGGCCCCTGAGGTTTTGAGTTACTGTGTAGTTCCTCTCAGAGCTATGGGCTCAGTCTCAAGAGGAGCTCACAAGGCACCAAAACATGAAATACATTACCTGCAGAACTGAAGGGAGAGTCAAACTGGGTCCTTTTTAAACATAACCTTAAAGACTTTTTATTGAGAGGTAAGACATGTGAACATTAATAATCTAACTGACCTGATCTTGTATCTGTGATGTTTTAGTGTGTAATTTGTTCTGTTGTGCCTTGTGTACAGTCACTGTGTTTTTTCTGTAAAAGCCTAACTGGGGACAGGCATTGAGAATTAGCCTTAGTTAAAATGTTGTAGTGTGTGACATGATTCATGAAACATACTTGTCCCTATCATATAAACAAATAAATGAAATAAAATAGCCGGGACAGACTTCCCAGAGGGATGTTCGACGGCCACCTACAGTGGGGGAAATAAGTATTTGACCCCTTGCTGATTTAGCAGGTTTGCCCACTTACAAAGAATGCAACGATCTAAAACTTTAATCATATGTACATTCTAACAGTGAAAGCCAGAATCCCAAAGAAAATTCCAGAAAATCAGATCATATGAATTTATAAAAATTGATAACCATCTGATGAGGAAAAATGAGCATTCTTTGTAAGTGGGCAAACCTGCAAAATCAGCAAAGTGTCAAATACTTATTTCCCCCACTGTATCTGGTCCTTGCCCGCCTCCATCCCCGGCGTTTCCTGTCTGTGCTCTGAACTCCCACAGGAGAAAGACTACGAGCAGGCCGATCGATACGCGGAGCTCGCCATGAACGCGGACCGCTACAACCCGGCGGCGCTGATCAACAAGGGGAACACCGTGTTTGTGCGACAGGATTACGAAAAAGCTGCGGAATTCTACAAGGAAGCGCTCAGGAACGACTCCTCTTGCACCGAGGCCCTCTACAACCTGGGTAATGGTTCATTTAGAAGTGGAGAGAGGAGTGGATAGCAGGGAGGAAAGAGGCCGTGAAACCGAAAGCGAATGAACGATTTGTCTGTTTTAACTTGCCTCAGGTCTGACCTACAAGAGACTGAACCGCCTGGAGGAAGCCCTCGACTGCTTCCTGAAGCTCCACGCAATCCTGAGGAACAGCGCTCAGGTCTTGTACCAGCTGGCAAGCCTGTATCCGACTCAAACGGGGGGTGCTTTGGGTTTGTGAGCCAGTTAGCCTCTGTGTGCCACCTGCCTTAAAGGGGACATATAATGCAAAACCAAGTTTTTAATCATTTGATTATGTAAATTTGGGACTGTGGAGGGCCTATTAGCAGGCAAAGTGTAAAAAAAAATGACTCAGTCATGTTTTTGTGGGCTGCCTCAATCTCAGTACAGGAGAAAAATCAGGAGGTTTCAGGAGTGGGTAGTTTCTGACGTCATTAGCTCTAGCTCATTAGAATATTCCAGCCTTTCACCTGCATGTTGCCCCCCCCCCTCAGCTTACTCCCCTATCTGTGGATATGACGTGGTAGCGTGAGCGTTAGCATGGTAGCGCTAGCATGGTAGCGTTAGAATGGTAGCGGTAGCATGGTAGCGTTAGCATGGTAGCGTTAGCATGGTAGCGTTAGCATGGTAGCGTTAGCGTGCCGACGTGGGCACACCTCCCGGAAGAAGTGGGTGGATTGCCTGTGTCTCATTTGCATTTAAAGAGACAGGCACTCCAAGCGAGAGCTCTGAACGGGGCTGTTTTGGCAGGGGGACTGAACTGCTGTTGGGCTTCATCCTTATGGGATTTTGACCAAAGCTTGTCAGACATTACATTAGGACACCAGGGAACTAGCTTAACTTGTTGAAATAGGATATAATAGGACTACTTTAACAGTTTCGCACCACTTTCAATCAGCTAATCTTCCCCTGAATGTTTCATTAATTTATTTTTTTTGAAGGGGTTTGAACTTGTGGGCACTTGTTTAGCATCTTAGGTATCTGTTGGTCCTTGACATGCATCTTCCAGCAATGAGCTGCTGGGCGACCCCCAGCAGGCCATCGAGTGGCTGATCCAGGTCATCAGCGTGACCCCCACCGACCCCCACACACTGGCCAAACTGGGCAAGCTGCACGACGACGAGGGGGACAAGTCTCTGGCTTTCCAGTACTACTGCGAGGTACGAGGGGGAAAGAGCGAGAGCTTTTCTCTCTCTGTCTTTCTCCACAGCAAATCCGGAGCTGGAAGTTATGGATCTGAGGCTGCTGTCGCTGTTTAGTCTTTCAGATACTTTCCCTCGAACATTGACGTGATCATGTGGCTCGGCGCCTACTACATCGAGACGCAGTTCTGCGAGAAGGCGATTCAGTACTTTGAAAGAGCCACGCTCATTCAGTAAGTAGACCGTGAACTGGCAGGTCTCATTCAGTTGTCTTAGGGTGGTTTAGAAGATTAATTATCTTCTGGATTATAGACGGGACACATTTATTCCCTCTACTTCAACAGGAGGTCCGTGACCCCTAGGGGTTCCTGGAGGTACTGCATGGGGGTCGTGAAAGTTTGTGGTTGATTAGGCTTTTTTTTGTATTCCCCCCTGGAATTTTTTCAAATAATTGAAATGTGATTAAATCCACATGAACATGAATTCAACAGACTGTAGTAAACAGATAAATGGAGGCAGAAGATGTCTTCCAGTCATCAACGCTCACATTCAGGCACACACAGGAGCTCTTTCAAACTGGGCACCGTTTCATTCACAACACCTCGTGGGTTGATGCTAACTGGCTGAATCTGCTGTGTTCCTCAGACCAACTCAGGTGAAGTGGCAGCTCATCATGGCCAGCTGTTACAGAAGAAGTGGTGATTATTGGACTTCATTTTCTTAAAAAAAGCTCCTTTCCAAACGAGATCCGTCCAGTCACAGCGTTTTTTCCTTTTTTTTTTGGTCTCAGGAAACTACCAGAAAGCTTTGGAAACCTACAAAGACATCCACCTCAAGTTTCCAGATAACGTGGAATGTAAGTCACGCCGTTCTGCCGCACTTTTCGTGACATCTTGCCGTCATCACGAGGAGGGGAGGACGAAAACGAAAACTCTGCCGGCTGCTTTTCAGGCCTGCGTTTTCTGGTGAGGCTGTCCACGGACATGGGGCTGAAGGAAGTCCAAGAATATGCCACCAAGCTGAAGAAGGTCGAGAAGATGAAGGAGATCCGAGAGCAGGTACACGTCTCAGACATTTTAGTCACCATTTAAAATCTCTTAAATTGAAAAAGGCTTTGGGGTCATTGGCAAATTATAGAAGAGTCTAGATTAATAAAACAGAAAAGGAAATTGGGAAAAAAACACATACAAACACAATTTTTAGGGTCAAATACGTAACAAATGAATATACTGTCAGCTTTTATGAAACCATATTATTACATTATGTAACTGAGAGCATTTAAATAACAGACTGTGGTTCATGTTTAGCTCATTTTGCAGTTTTATGCGGCAGAACAGTCATTAATCGTATTTTCGTCACCTGCGTCCTGTCATATTTGGTCTGTTCCTGGCGAGAAACGTGCTGAGTGAAAACACACACGTGTCACTTTTTTGCTGTAAAATAGAACGATGGTCAACGGGGTTTGAAAAAATTTATGACAAACAGATGTTTTTTTTCCCCCCCCTCCGTTGATTTTTCCATGAATCACGATGTGTTGATAGAGGAGCAGATGGTAAACAGCTGCCTAACACCAGGCTGCCACAAATCCCTCTCGTTACGTGTGGAGAGTTGTTTCCTCAGATAGTTTGAGTTTTTTAGTGTCACCTGGGTTGTTTAGAAAGGCGAGAGGGTCAAGTATTACCAGCCAAGGTGGTGAGTGCTTTAGACTCTGGTGGTGAAACTGAGCCCTCTTTCCTCACCCACCCCCACCGAAATCTCACAGAAGTGGAACTATTTATATTGGAGCCATGTCTTTGGTTTAACACGTGAATCTGAGTGCCTGAAACATGTGTGAAATCTGTCTTTATGTGAGGATATTAACCTCTGAGACCTGATTCAGATTCAGTAAAAATGCTCCAAACTAACACGTCTTTAGTCATTTTTTTCTTTTTTTTAATTCGCCTTTTTTTGTCTGTGGTAAACTGATAGCCCCGGTTCAGTGGAGGATCTTTAGCTATGTGTTTAGTAAAAGGGTTTAGTCCCCATCAAGGGGAATCCAGAGAAACGGGAACATGTGTTGTCATGTTTGAAATTTATCATCCTTATTCCGTCCAGTTCCGAGGAAAAGTTGGATAAGAAATATCATCGAACGTTGCCTCATTTGAATAATCCTGGTCCTGTGGGAGCAGATGCAGAGCAGGAGGAGGGGTTTTCTGAATCAGAACCAGCTGGTTTTTAATCAGAAACTCGGTCGGACCAGAGAATCTGCTGCCAGGCAGAAAGTGACAGAGCCAGAAGGCTGAGTCATTCATCCCCAAACGAGGAACGGCTGATCCCACCGAACACCCGAAATCATAAATTACTTCGTTTTGGAGATTTGAATTGAACATAAATTTGTTTGTTTGTTTTTGCAACGATAATTTAAAGTTTGTGTTTTTTTCCAACTGTTTCTCTGATTTTACTAACAGAGGTCGAACTTTGTGGAGTTTCTGCTCTGCACTTGCCTTTTTCATTTAATTTTTTCCTCTTTTTTCCCCCTTCTTTCATATGACAGAGGGTGAAATCGGGACGAGAGGGCAGTGCAAGAAGTCGGAAAGAAGGCAGAGAGGGCAGTGCGGGCAGCGTGGGTAAGTCCCTGTAAAAAAACAGACAAACATTAGAGACAGAACTTGCTTATTTTTCTTAAGATCAGTGAATCGGTGAGAACTTCTCTGTGTTTCGAACAAATTCTACATACAGAATATGAAGGAGTCCTTATTCATGTCTATGATTATGAACATTTAAGTATTCGGGTCGTCTCATTTCTTTCGTTTTCAAAAACCAATGAAGCTAAACCACTTAAAGGAGTGAAACCAGGTGTCTCAGACCTGGTAAAAAGGTCTTTTCCAGGTTAAGATGTTTACATTCACCCTCCACAAGCTGCTGGGATTTTCTTTTTCTTCCGGGTTCTGATGACAGCATGATTTAAAAAAGGGAACGCAGTGTCTGTGTTTACATTCCTGATGATCCAGCCCCAGCAGTTTTTATATTTACCGTGTGGGAGATCTGTGCTTTTCAGTCTGTCTGAGGGACTTAATTATCGTAATCTGTTTTTTGTTTAGTACTCTGGCTTCTTCCCAAAGCCC